CAGCCCATGGCACTTTCAATATTCTCCTCCAACACCATCACTCAAAAGCATCAATTCTCCTATGGTCTTCCTTATTCACTGTCCAGCTTTCACATGCATCTGTCTAGTTATAGGTCAATAAATACAGAATTATAGTACAGTCCTACCACCGATACTGCAGCTAAAATGTACCAAAAAAAAAGAGAGAGAGAAAATAAACCATTTCAAATACAAATACAGAAGGAAGATGGTAAGTAAGACTGGGACTCGTAATACACCTCAAAGACTGTGGGAGAGGCGACCCAACTCACTATGTAATCTGTGTATATAGTGGTACGTAGCATGGAGGTTTTCGCCAAAAGGAAGAAATATAAAATCTTCAATTTAGATAATGTACTATATAAAACTGTAGGATGTTCAGAAAAATTGGCTCACTCCTTATTGGTATTTATACTATCCATTTTTTTAAGTCCAGTTTTAAAAATAACCACTGAGTATTGTTACTATTAAGGTAGGCAAAATGCTCCTCTCTCAATTATGAACTCTTAACTGGTGATAGTTTTTTCCTGAGCTTTCAGAAAAGACGCAATGAGAGTACTTTGGTTTTCGGTTCAAGTGAGTGGCCTTTCATGAAGATTTTAGAACTGAAGTGATTCATTCAGGATTAATTTTTTTTCATCAAAATCTCAATGTTCAAAAAACTTGATTAAGAAAAGCCAAACGAAATCCACCCACTAAGCATTGACATATACCTCTTTTCTTTTAGCATAATTTCACTTTAAATGTAGAGTGAAGGAAAAACAAAAAACCCAAATAGGTCAAAACAAATCAAACACCCACACTACACAGATAAAACCTTCTTCACAAAGGTCAACTGAAGTAATCCAGATCCAAAACTGAATTGTCCAGATTTTCAGGGAAGTCACCAGTCATATAACATAAACAAAAGCAAATCCTTACACACTCAGCAAATCCTGTAAGAAATGTGCCCCAAGAAGCATTCACCTTTGTTTTATGCCATCTTGAAGGCTTGTGCATTTTATTTTCCAGATCATATAACGTTTTTTAATAGAATGTGTTTGCTCTCCATCATGTGGTAATGCTTAGGTACCAATTTAGGATTGGTTATCTTAAAAATTTGCCATTTTCCCAAGAGAAGCTTTGATTCTGTTTTTAGAGGTTTCATATAAATAAAATCTTTATCAGATATTAATCTAGAGGGAGGTCAAACTGGATACAACATATACAGTCAAATTACCTCTCTTTATATTGAGTTGTTATTTGCTACTACAAGGTATTTGTGCCTAAAGCCTTAGTCTGTCCTGCTTAATATTTCAGTAGTATAGGCGTGAGTCTTGAGAATGTTGGAAAGATCTTAATATTTCAAAATTATTAACAAATACCTCTAGGGGCACGTCCGTGATACTGAATTATGACATTTATTATCATGAGGAAAAACAAGTGTAGCCAACCATCTTTAAAAAATGCCCCAACCACTGCTTCTCAATATAGAAAGACTAAAACTACATACGGGTTTATCATACAAGATCCCATCTGTGTCTGGAAACTATCCTTTTCATTCATTAGAAGGAGATTAAAAAATAACAAACAACGAAACACTAAAAAAACAAAAGACTTAAAGATCACTTTACAGCAGCATTCAGCTTATGAAATACTCAGCATCTTAAATATATGTACACTTTTTTTGTGTGTGAACTAGATACAGTCTTCAAAGTTTGTGTAACTGGGGAGAAAAATAACCCATTCAACAACCAACCCCCAAACAAACCATTCTACATGTTGTCTTTTGGCAGAATAGCAAATATCTGCCAAAATATTTGTTGTGTCTTTCTAAACTTTAAATTGTTTTTGTTCCCTTTCTACATAAAGCTCAGTCACCCTCCTGAGTGGAGATGGGTAGTGGGTAGAGGCTCTGGCCTGGTTCTTCTGGCTTCTCAGCAGTTGATTTTTATTGCTGCAGCTAGGCTTGAATAGATGCTTACCGATGAGGACTTCCCCAAAATGACCTTTATAGATAATCCTCACAACATATTTTCTGCCTTTTCCAGGATGTAAGATCTAAAAAGGAAAAGACTGGTGTTGTATTAATGCCAGAAGCCATCTCTGTATATGAAACATCATCTGACTAGTGACTAACGAGTAGACTGGGCTGGAGAGGCACTTGAGGTGGTACTGTGAGCGAGTATCAAGAGTTATGCCGTTTAAATTCCTTCTGTAGTTTACTGATCTGGTTGCTTTTTATCCAGTTTCCAGATAAGAGTTTTCACTTCTTTGGTTACAATGTAGTTTTTAGACTGGGCCCTGCCCTTGCATCTACCACATGATTCCATTTTTTTTTTTTTTTTTGATCCTGCTGGCAGCTTCTTTCATCTTTACACAAGCAGCACGCAGACATTACAGATGTTTCCTAAATGAGTCTCATGAAACCCAAAACAGGTCTGGAAGTCCTTTTCGTAGCATTTACTATCAGTGAATCGAGAACTCGAGGACTTAAATCTGGAAATATAGCAGCCCTCTATACTTCAGTACATCTTTGGCTAGCGAAAACCAAACTCTTTTATTCTGAGCAACGGTCTTCCAAAAGCAGCTGTTTCACATGTGAAAATGTTCCTGTGGTGTGGCGTACACACCAGACCAGCCCCCTTCACCTCCAACTCCCTTGTCTAGAAACACACTGATATTGTTTTGAAAGTGTGTGAAAATGCTGTGGGGTCATAGAGAAGAGAGAGAGATCATAAGTTTGTATGAGGAAATCGGAATATTTCACATTTGGATTTGAAGAGTGCCGTTAGGGTTGGCTTAGGTAATTCATTACTACACATTTTTAAGTATAATGAACCTATGTAATAATGTGAATGCACATCTAATGCTCATAGTGTGAATAGGAAATGAATACGTAAGGGGATTGCACAGTTTGTAAAATGCTGTATAATGCACAGGTTATTTACATAAAACTATAGTAGTTCATAGCATCCACCATATTTGTAAAAATAATTTTTCCAGCATGTCATGATAATTCCATATGCTGGCCACTCCGTAACTGCAGTCAGCAATTGTTAACTGAGGAATTCTTTAACTAGATCTACCTGCCCTGTGTAATGCTTCCCTATCCCATTACACCATTTTTCTCTCTTTTTAATCTCTCTTAACACCAACAACAATAACAACAGTAGTCTGTATTTCTGGAAGGAATTGAGGCCAAAGTTGCTGTGTATATCTTCTTTTTGTCACTCATGAGCTACTATCATTTTTTCCCTTTCTACCCAGGGATGTCATCTTGAAAGCTATGTGAATTTCTTCTTACACAAAGACTGGGGCCTCTGATACTGGAGCCTCAACCAGTTAACTCTCACTGAGGATGAATTGAAGCTAGTTTGCTTACTGGATCCAGTTGATCTACTCTTTTTCTAAAACTAATAACCCACCTCATTATGTTTCCACTTCTCTGGTACCTCTCGGAGGTCACAAAGTGGCAAGCACTCTCTTTCCCACTTAGAGGTGTGAGGAGGCCAGTGTCCCATCAGCAACCCCTCCTTTCTCCCCGGCCCCAGTACACACACAAAACTGGGTGAGGATGGGGTGACATGACAGCATTGATGCTGAGGATGTAGGAATCTGAATATTATCTCATGGGGTTTGGACGCTTGTGACTACCCTTTTCATACAGATGAGGCCATATTCTTATGGCCAGCAGCCTTCGAGGAGCATGCCCAGCAGTTTCAATTAGAATTCCAAGGGTATCACAATCAATTGAGGAGCCTTTTTCCTCTGAACTGGTGATTCTTGTTACATAGGGTCTGCTGTGTATTAGATTCTGTTCTGGGTAAATAGGATACCCCCAAGGAAGGTGTTGTCAGGTGCCCTGAGTCAGTTCCAATTCATAGTGACCCTGTATAGGTTTCAGCTGGTAAGCTTGAACCACTGACCTTGTGGTTCAAATCAACCTTGTGGTCCAGCACATTAACCCCATGACAACAATTTGAGTCAGGGAGTGGTCAGAGCCCCAGTTAAGGCTTAAGGCATGGCCTAGTTCAATGAGACATACCGTTCCTCACAACAACCCTAGAAAGTGGACAGGATTCTTACTTATTCTGCAAAGAGGGAACTGAGACTTGTGGAATGTAATCACTTGGCCCCAAGGTCACGCCAATAAATGTGACATCAATGAAGATGGGAGGAATACACAGAGTCACTGTACCAAAAGGAAATGGTTGATGTTCAACCATTTCTAGAGGTAGCATATGATCAAGAGTTCCCTTCAGTGATACTGAAGGAAGGAAGTCCAAGGTGCATTGAAGGAGTTGGCAAAGAACGAGGCACTGGGAATTGATGGAATACAAATGGAAATCTTTCAACAAAGTGAGGAGGCACTGGAGGCACTCACTCATCTATGCCAAGATATTTGGAAGACAGCTGTTTGGCCAATTGGTTGGAAGAGATCCATATTTGTGCCCAATCCAAAGAGAGGTGACCCAATGCAGAAATCATCGGACAGTATCTTTGATATCCCATGCGAGTACAGTTTTACTAAAGGTAATACAGAAATGACTGCAACCATACATTGACAGAGAACTTCTAGAAGTTCAAGCTGGATTCAGAAGAGGACATGGAATGAGGGATATCATCACTGACGTCCTATGGATCTTGGCTGAACCAAGCCATGGTATTTTCAATAACCTCATATGCATGCGAAAGTTGGTATAAGGAAGATCGAAGAAGAATTGATGCTTTTGAGTTACGGTGTTGGAGGAGAATATTGAAAGTATCATGGACTGCCAAAAGAACCAATAGATCTGTGTTGGAAGTAGTACAGCCAGAGTGCTTCTTGGAGGCCAGGGTGGCCAAACTTCGTCTCTCATACTTAGGACATATTGTCAGGAGGGACCAGTCGCTGGAGAAGGATATCATGTTTGGTAAGGTGGAGGGTCAGAGAAAAAGAGGAAGACCTCCAGCGAGATGGATTGGCAAAGTGGCAGCATCAATGGGCTGAAGTGTGGCAGCAATTGTGATGTTGGCCCAGGACTGGACAGTGTTTTGTTCTGTTGTGCATAGGGTCGCTATGAGTCAGTACCAACTCGATGACACCTAACAACAGCAATCACAAGCTGTGGAAGTCATCTTCTTAACTCTGTGTAGCTATTAGTCTGCTTCTACAGTTGCATATGTTGCTTGCTTGTACAGTTGTACAAAAGTTGTAGAATTTCATTATCTTTTCATTCCATTTTTCCAGGAAATTTTTGAATCCCCCTCATATTTTTCTTACACACTCCCTGGAGTCCTAGTGTGGCACTGTCAGATACAGACTGGACTGCAATTTCAGCAATTCATACTCACCAGTCACTCCTTAGAAACTCTATGTATGGGTGCTGTGAGTCCGAGCTGACTCGATGGCACTTAACAACACCACCAAATCTCTGCCCCAAGTAAGGGTGCGCATCTCTTTACATCTTCAGACATTGTCTCAGTCACCCTTCCTTTCTAGACAGACACTGCCCATAAACAAACTGAGGCCCCCCTTATAGAATTGTCCACCCAATTAGAATACATGAACTCTCAGCATCAGTGAATACAAATTTAAAATATGCATATTTTAAAATCTAATTTCCTTTTTTGTTTTTTCCCTTATTCCTTATGATTGCTTTACAGATGCATTTTTGGAGCAAGTGGTATCATATCAGCAGTTTGTAGACAATCCTGCTATCATCGATGACCCAAATCTTGTGGTAAAGATTGGGAATAAGTAAGTACCTCCACAAGGTCATCTTGTCAGTAGCATGATACTATTTTGCATTCTTTCTTTCTTTTTTGTTAAATACAGAGACCCAGACATTAAACCTTAAAAATATATAAAGTATTTGTTAGAATTAATTATTATCTCTTCACTTTGGACAAAATTCTGTGTTTCTATACAGTTGATAGGATGAGATAGCTGTAGATCTTGTGGGTTTTAGTATGCACCTGTGTTAGATTTTATAACTGAATGTGTGAAATTACAATGGTTGGCCTGTGGAACTTAGACCCATAGAGTACACAGAAGAGAATAGACTATATGTACTGAGGAATCCTGGTGTGGCGCTGTAGGATAAGTACTAGACTGCTAACCTCAAGGTCGACTGTTCAAACCCACCAACCACTCCTTGGAAACCCTATACAAGATTGCTCTAAGTCTGAAATAACTTGACAGCACTTAACAACAACAACATAGGCTAACCTAACTGCAATTTCCTTGAAATGTGGCAAGAAATGCCATAGCACATGGATGATTTTATGTCATAAGCACAGAGGTAATTTGAGACAACAGCAGAATGGAATTTGGGGTGCTCCAGCTAGCTGCTGGTGTCTGCTGGCAGGTTTGACTGTCTGCGCTTGTGCCATGGCTCCTGGAGTGGGAAGTCACTGGCAAGGGCTGGGGGATATTAGAAACAGTATTGGTCTAGTGACCTAGCTAGAGTTCCCCAGCTTTCTGTGATTGCTTCTTATAAAGATTTTCAGCTTGAGTCATGATTTTTTGGCAACTGTTTGATTTTTCTGCCCTGCTAGATATTATAATTGGACAACAGCAGCACCACTACTCCTGGCAATGCAGGCCTTCCAGAAACCTTTGCCAAAGGTGAGCTTTAACATGAGAAAGAAACGGACGTTAAAATGATGAACGGATTCAGGTGGGCAGTGGAAACTTAACGTTCCTTTTAGAACACACAAAGTTAATTATATCATGGTATTTTGAAGTTCATGGACACATACACATTCAGGAATTTCAAATGTATCTTTCTTTGCACCTCTTGCATCTTGAATGCCTTCCTTCTTATCCAGGAGAAATCTACCAAATCCTATCGTCTCCATGGTTCTTTTACTAATGTAGGAAATAGTCTTTTCCAAAGATAGGATTGGGCTAGGGACACCGATGGGAGTAGAGCAGGTGGATGCCAGCATGGTCAGATCCAAGTGACAGTGCTGAGAGAAGAGGTTCAGAGTTAAAGGGGTGGAGCAGCCGGAGGAGGCACCATATCAGACACCATAAACCAGGACTGGTGTCAGGTGTTGTCTCAGCCAGGACGTATACCTTGTGTCTCCTCTGAGGCAGGTGCCAGCATAGGAGGCTAGGTAAATACTGCAAGGGAGAGTTTTGTCATTTTCTTATAAAGACTATTTACTTTTTGGCAGATTCTGTGGGGGTACTGTAATAGTTAGGGTTCTGTGGCAACTAGTGTAGGCTTCTAATGGTTTAACAGTTAAGATGTGCTATTCCTGTGGTGATGAAACCAAAAATAGGCATAGTTAACTCTATGAGTGGTTATGAGTGGCTACTTAATTGAATGGATGCTACCTTGAGGGTATGGCCTGCTCCCAATGTAATGGACACACAGGAAAGGCTCTCTCTTTCTTCTGCTGGGGACCTGTAAGCCATTTCATTATAATAAACTTCTCTTTATATGTATGTACATATATATGTTTCACTGGTTTTGCTTGTCTCAAAAACCCAGCCTAAGACAGGTATATATAATGCCCCCTGTCCCTCAATTGTCTTAGCATCTTTTTATATTTTGAAGTGATGTTTGTTTGGTCTTTTGTTGTTGTTGTTGTTATTATTGTTAGGTATAATTGAGTTGGTACTGACTCATAGTGACCCTATGCACAACAGAACGAAACACTGCCTGGTACTCTGGGCCAACCTCACAATTGTTGTCACGCTTGTGCCCATTGATGCTGTCGTATTGCCAGTCCATCTCACTGGGGTGTCCCCCTCTTTTTCTCTGACCCTCCACCTTACCAAACATGATATCCTTCTCCAGCGACTGGTCCCTCCTGACAATATGTCCTAAGTATGAGAGACGAAGTTTGGCTATCCTGGCCTCCAAGGAACACTCTGGCTACACTTCTTCCAACACAGGTCTGTGTGTTCTTTTGGCAATTCATGACATTTTCAATATTCTCCTCCAACACCATAACTCAAAAGCACCAATTCTGCAGTCTTCCTTATTCACTGTCCAACTTTCGCATGCATTTGATGTTACTGAAAATACCATGGCTTGGGTCAGGCACACCTTAATCCTCAAGCTGACATCTTTGCTCTTCAATACTTTAAAAAGGTCTTGTGCAGCATATTTGCCTAATGCAATATATCATTTTATTTCTTGATTGCTGCTTCCATGAGTTTTGATAGTTGATCCAAGAAGAATGAAGTCTTTGACACTTCAATCTGTTCGCCATTGATAAGAATGTTGTTTATTGGTCCAGTGGTGAGGATGTTTGTTTTCTTTACATTGAGATATAATCCATACTGAAGGCTGTGCTCTATGATCTTCATAAGTAAATATTCTAAGTCGTCTTCATTTTCAGTATGTAAGGTTGTATCAACTGCTTATCACAGGTTGTTAATGAGTCTTCCTTCAATCCTGATGCCACGTTTTTCTTCATAAAACCCAGCTTCTTGGATTATTTGCTCAGCATACAGGTTGAATAAGTATGGTGAAAGAATATAACCCTGTCACTCACCTTTCTTAATTTTAAACCATTCAGTGTTATCATGTTCTGTTTGAACAACTGCTTCTGGTCCATGTACAGATTCCTTATGAGCACAATTAAGTGTTCAGGAATACTCATACTTCGCAATGTTGTCCATAGCTTGTCAGGATCCACACAATCAAAAACCTTTGTGCAGTCAATAAAGCACAGGTAAACATCTTTCTGATATTCTCTGCTTTCAGCCAAGATTCATTGGACGTCAGTTATGATATCCCTCATTTCACGTCTTCTTCTCAATCTGGCTTGTACCTCTGGAAGTTCTCTGTCAATGTATGGTTGCAGTCGTTTCCATATTAGCTTTAGTAATTAATTAGCTTTGATATCACATGGGATATCAAAGATATTGTCCTATGATTTCTGCATTCCGTTGGGTCACCTCTCTTTGGATTGGGCACAAATATGGATCTCTTCCAATCAGTTGGCCAGATAGTTGTCTTCCAAATTTTTTGGCAGAGATGAGTAAGTACTTACAGTGCCACCTAATTTTCTTGAAAGATTTTAATTTGTATTCCATGCACCATTAATTCTTGGTGCCTTGTTCTTTGCCAATTCCTTCAGTACACCTTGGACTTCTTCCTTCACTATCATTGAAGGGAGCTCTTGATCATATGCTACCTCTTGAAATGGTTGAACATCAACCATTTCCTTTTGGTACAGTGACTTTGTGTATTCCTTCCATCTTCTTTTGATGCTTTCTGCATCATTCAATAATTTGCCCAGAGAATCCTTCAATAATTAAAGTTGAGACTTGAATTTTTTCTTCAGTTCCCCCAGCTTGAGAAATGCTGAGTGTGTTCTTCCTTTTTGGTTTTCTGATTCCAGATCTTTGCACATTTGATTGTAATATTTGACTTTGTCTTCTTGAGGTGACCTTTGAAATTTTCTGTTTTGCTCTTGTACCTCCTCATTTCTTCCATTTACTTTAATAGCTCTACACTGGAGAGCAAGTTTCAGTGTCTCTTCTGACATCCATTTTGATCTTTTCCTTCCTTCTTGTCTTCTCAATGACTTTTTGCTGTATGATGTTCTTGATGTTTGCTGTATGATGTTCTTGATGTCATCCCACAACTCTTCTGGTCTATGGTCTTTAGTGTTTA